TGGAATATATTCCACATATGATTCACTGCTGATAATTTATTGGAAGTGCAGTTATGCGTATTCAAGGTGAATATGCATTGAAAAGTGCGAAAATACACAGAATAAACGTGAAATCTACTGAAAGCAAGCACGATAATTGACATCGAATGCAGCGATTCCCAAATAACAATACCAAAAATATTTAATGCACCAAAAAGGAAGCAAAAATGAGAAACAATTCGGCACCACATAACAAATATACAAATACGATCGAACTCATGGAACTGTGGAGATCTTCTTTTTACATTTACAAAAACTGCGAATCGCATTCAAACCAATGAAGACACAATCGGGAACGACATTTCACTGGTTTGCTAATTGACAAAGTGCCACAATAAGATCCAGCAATATTCCATGAAAGCAGCTCTTATAGACGATGATCATATCGACCAGATTTTGAATTTCAACTATCATTTTTGAAACTATTTTCAATGTATTTGAAAATATCGCTCATCGCTACAGTTGACGTTTCTTCATGAATCCTCGTTCCGGATGCAACACACTCCACATACGGGTCACATCTGGTGTCGTTTTTCGACGTTCCAATCATCTGACCGACCTTATCGATCGGACTTGCAATCCAATGTCTTACATGAGGTCTCCTCTTCTCGGGATTCTCCTCAAAGGCTCGCACCTTGAAGAATGAATCCGTTAAGCAAATACATCGAACACGACGTGAACCTTCTTCGAGATCACGTGACGGCCAACAAGCTGGCTCTTCCATCTGAAAATTGCCATGTTTTGCTAGAATACTGCAAGTTTTCTGCGAATGAACCATTCATTCAGCTCCGAATAAAATTTCATATGAATTTCTTATGCAGATTTTATCGCATAACTTCAACTTTAAATCACTTATTCAGTTCAAAGTTTTGATTCAAGGAAATAAAACAATCAAATCGAAAAGAAATACGAATTTCTTATATATTATGGGGGACAAAATTTCAGTATGTCTGCATAAATATCTACAATAACAATCCAAAAATAATTCAGTTGGAAGTTCCGCAAAAAGAAACAACTTGAGTGCATCTGATAAAAAATATCACAATGATTGATCAGTCCTAGTGTAAATAATGAAGGGTAATTAATAACTGTGTTTCTTTACTGCTGAGTCTCACCTCTCTCACAAATGACTCATGAACAAGAGAAATGATCAAAACAGTGTAAACAAGATCACAAAAACAACACAGTGTAAACACATAAAAACTTACGATAGTTGAGATAACGAAGCCTCCAGCACTATGCGCCACAACTGCGATATATTCAGCACTCGATTTTGAAATCAGTTCCTTCCAAACGCTCAGACCATGTTGCACTGGTGTTTCACTAGCCTTCAACATCACTTGTTTTCATCATGGCATTCAATAGCACTCTGCATGGAAAATACCGATACTGATGATATTTTTCACTCGACGATGAATCGTCATTCATTTCATTCGTTAATTCATTCATAATACTGACAACAGCATCAATACTTTGGGACATTATTATTGAAAATTTTGAAATAAACAATAATTACAACGAAAATAATGGTAATGAAGACAGGAATCATTTAAAACATTCAACAGTAACCTAGCGATGCGATTGCAGTGTAATATTTTTTTCGATAAATAATAAAAGTTATTCAACTCAATCACTCATTGCAGACGCTTACTTGCTGCGCCCAGTACTTGAACTCAAAGCATCAAAACAACGAAAAAAAACAACTGTCAAAATTCAGCAGAACCGAAATCATATTCATTCGATCATATTGCATTTCACGTTTCAGAAACTGCCACCAACTGTTAAGAATTGGACTCAAGTTACTTGAAGTACATAGAAAACCGGAGAAAAAGAAGATATTTTTGCAGGATATTCCCTTTCAGTGAACGTGATTGATATAGGATCTATTTTTTGAGGCACAAAATGGCAAAAACACTATGCAAACATTACATTTAATGGTTTCTCTTCGCCTTTTTCATCAACAAATTTATTCAGATTCGTATTCATCAGAAGAACTGCCCATCCGCGTTCCATACATTCACGTACATACGGTAACTGAGCACCACGATCCAAGCTCTCGTTCATTATCAATCTGAAACAACAACGAATAGCAACAATCGGCTCTCCATATATATATNGAAATATGATGCGCAAAGTAATGGGCATGTCTGTGTAGAAGTTTTCAACTCGATAAATATATCTTTTTCGAAGTTATATGAACGAGTCTGTGTATGTCGTGCTCGAATGAAAACAAATGGTAACCTTCTGGACCATTGGCCTGCGCGAACCACTCCACTTCCGTGAATCAACACGACCAAATGTTTATTCGTCAAGAAATCTTCCGAATGAAATACAAAACACCTTTTATTTGTATCTTCATTTGGATCACCAATCTATAAACTTGAAAATGAAATTGCAAATTTAACGGATAGTTTGCGAATAATTTACCAGCGATAGTTTAGCAAAATTTCTGGATCACCAAACGATTAAGTGAATTTAGTTGATTGCTATAATTTGTATATTCGATGGAATCGGTTTCACTTCCTTCCCATATTTCTGGTTGATTATTTGGAATAGCCTTAAAAAGCAACGAGGAAACAGTGAGCTAAACGCTGAGAAGTGATGCGATCTTGAGATAGTTCTCGAAAGAAAAAAGATTATCTGATGGCAATGTTCCGAAAAGGAAACATTATCAAAACTCATGATGAATATTATGATGTCAAAACGTTTATACGTAGGTTTTGCATAGGCTGTATGGCGGTTCTTGCAGGATTTGATAAAGTTGTTCGGTGACAGCCTCACCGACGGCTTCGTAATGCTTCTGATCGACGAAAACAAATTCATAACCGTCCTGGAATGGCGCTGATTTCAGGGAATCAAGCAGAAATTTTCAACTCACAATCAGTAAATGCTAATTACGTATAGCTCATCAACGATGAGCACAACTTAAACGAATAAAATTTACGGATTGTTCACCGAAATGCTGTACTGTCAAATGTATCAGGTTGCTGTCTTGAATATTTGCTTATTTGACGAGAAATTACTCAAGAAATATTGCTGAATTACAAGTGAAACTGATGGTAAATAGAGTTGATAACAAATGATCAACGATCAGCTGCACGTCGTCATGTGGAAGTGTGACAGAACAGGAAGAATTTTTGTGATACCTTATCAATCATAACACCATCTTCGTTGAAATGATAACCAAAATCTTTCAGCGATCTCCGTTTCTTGCCACCACCATCAGCACATTGTTTTTGTTGTTCATTTTCAGTCGATGCCTCACAGTCCATATTTTCGACAGTTTACTTTTTCCGTTTCAGTTACACATTCATACGTTGTGCTGTAAAGGCAAACAACTGTGTAAGCAGTGACGTCGAATATTACAATCCTGGAACTGATTGTGAGCAAAATAACCGACGATACTTACAATCAAGTTACACACTAGCTCTTAGAACATTCATACGCGCGTTCTACGCTCTTCGAATGAAACAATTTTTTGTTCACTTTCACTACAAAACAACGCTTCTATCTTCTCCTCAGACGCGAATAAACGAATGAAAACAATAACTGAAAGCAAATCGTGTGCAATTGCCGTTACGAGAAGTATGCTTGAACGGAAATTTTCGAAAAAAATCGGAATTTTTTTGTAGTTTATAGCTTAATGCTGCATTCCAACAGATCGAATGTAATTGATTGATGTGCGAAGAGCGAAATGATGTACTTTTGTTTACGCCGTGTCGAACGAATGCCATTCAAGTGATGAATTTGATGGAATGAATGCCTGAGATGTTATTTGCCAGCCTGTTCGAATTATGATTATCGTTGTAAAATCGCTGTTTGCATCAGACGATGAAGTTTAGTACGGCTCATCAAGCAGACAACAAAAAAAAATCGTAAAATAACCAAATAAGTTTGTGTCATCACAAAATACAATATGTGCAATAATATGCAAACAGCTATTAAAATAACGAACGTAATGGTTCAATACAAAGTAAATAACAGTAATAACAATTAATATTGATGGTTAACAAAATAACAAATAATAAGTAAACATTGCCATGGAATGTGAACGATGTGTGTTTGGTATGTGTAATGATCAGTCATTTCAAAAAGCATCCATCATAAAATTAGAGTGAGTTGAAAGTGCAAAGGCGATAATATTTTAACAAAACTGCTCTGAGACGGCACCACATTCTTTCTGCAAACTTCTGCAAAGCATTGTGTTGCAAATTAATATTAGCATCTATAAGCTGCTGGTAAGAATATTTCCGTCTAAAATTTGCACCTACATATACTCATAATTAATCAGTCGTTTAAGAGCTTCTTGATGAATCGAATTTCAATTGTGCGGTGTTTCGTTCACAGTGCATTCATCATTTCTTATCCACATCGAGAGTGATAGGGAAATTTTTGATGGCTTTTATGAATTATTCGATAATCCGCCAAACCTTCCCAGAAAAAATGGAAATTTCTTGGAGTTGTGAAGCGATAAGTTTTTTGTCGATAGGTTAAAATCACGGCGTCATCACTGCGCATTGCATGAAGTTTTTCCGGTTTCTCCGAAGTTTCACAAAACCAAAATGGTTTCTCCGAGAAAAACACTCTAATGAACAAACAGTCGAATGATCCTTCAGATGAAACTCACTAATATTCAGAAGGATATTAGTTATGCGCACGAAATGTTGCAGAAATTTTTCATGTGTCCAAATCATAAGAATGCACCAAAAAAAATTCACCGGACAGAATTACAAAAATTACAAAAAAACATATTACTTTTTGCGCACGAAATGTTGCAGATATGTTTCATGTGATTGAATCATACTAATGCACCAAAAAAAAATTCACTGGACAGAATTACAGCAATTAAGACATTACTTCTTGCGGTCTGAAATGATAACTCTAAGCCATCAGCTAGTTAAATATTGCTTTCCTGGAATGAACTCGTGTAAACCTCGGTTACCAAAGAGCATCCGAGAATTTTCTATCTTATCCGATGATGACGGTCTAAAGTAGTTTTGAATACCAACTGCAGTTAATGCACAAGGTAACACAAATTACAAAGTAAAGTGCAGTTGTTTCTCAATAACGCAAATACCTGTTATCGCAATCAAGTTATACTCGTAAATCAGACATCACATAAAGTGACTAATATTTCATGACCGATTGACTTATGTCTATTGTCTTTAAAAACTGATTGATAAAGCATTCGATCGGTCAAAAACTTCTGAGTTAGACGAGTACTGATTGTAAAATTTGCAGTGATTCAAACCGTTCAGTAGACACTCTGAATTGTGAAATTTCCTATGAATTGTGAAATTTTCTGCAAATTGTGAAATTTTTCGATGTGAAAGCATCAACGAAAATAACTGATGTCATTGTATGCACTATCAAGACTCATTTGAATATTTTATCAGTTCTATCGTCACTATTCAGACGATAGCAACTGGAGTAAATAACTGCAAAATTTTCGCATTGCAAATTTTTGTTTGACTGGTTAGTTTCTAGTCTATTCTACAAACTAGTCTATTCTAGTCTATTCTACGAACTGAAAATACTCAACGTATTCGTTTCGTGTTTGGTTTAGACTGTTTGAGAAAACTCATTTAGTGTAAAGCATTAAGCATTCATTCATCGCGTGAACGAACGGCTATTAAAAGAGAGCGTTTAGTGAGTTGTGTCATTGATGGTGCGTTGTTACGGTCGATATTCTCGATCACGTCTGTTTTTATGCTTCGCAAATCATTTATTTTCAACAAACTCATCATCACATACGGCGGCTGTTATCATTGCGTTGCGATGAATTTTTTGAAAATCACTTCAAGTTCGTTTCGTTTATTACCACACATTATTTGACTATGTGT